GTTTTATCTCCTCCAGCCTCTCTACTCCCTCAGCTCTGTGTTTCTGCACAAATTCACAGCTGATTGTTTTTTTTTTTTTTTACCCACGGTGCCCACATGCTTCCTGTTTTTCACTCAAACTGTGAAACTGTAGGCAGAACAGGTTCAGGGACGCAAACTCTTTTTGTTTTTGTTTTTTGTTTTAGGATTTTTTTTCTGCAGTAAAGGAGAAAAATAAAATTTTGAATTGCTCCTACAGTAGCCATTTTTAACCGTTTTAATATCTTATTTCCTCTTTCCTTTAATTTATCCTCTGTCTAAATTTCGTAACCAGCCGGTCCGTGAGTAATAAGACCAACTTCCTCAACTGAAGCCGCTTTTTAAAAGCAACCAAAAAGTAAAAACTCCAAAGTTCCGTTAAAGTTCGGATCCATTTCATCACTAATTGATCAGAAGCAGCTTCCATGGTTCCTCTTCCTCTCTCTGTACTCTCTGTTCTCACTGTACTTGTTGTACCGGCAGCAGCAGGGGGGCCCGGGGCCCCCCACCCTCCCCTCCATGATTAAAAAGCTTTTTATTTTCAGTTCCTCAGGACCAACCTGCGGCTCTGTGACCTACCTTAGGCTGGTTGAACAGCTGTGGTTGTTGGGAGCGCTCGGCCATGGTGGGGAGCCCGCGGCAGCCGGTGTGTTTGCTGGTGCGCACTGAGGAGATGAGGAGAGGCGGAAAGCCGAAGCCTGCCGCTGCTCGACGCGCTATTATATGCATGACCCGGAGACACGCCTTTATTCTGCCAACTGTAAAAAAAAAACACACACGCAACGACACAGCAAAAAAGAGCAGAGTGCGCTCAGCAGATAACCGCAGAGAGAGCAACAGGCTGCAGAGTGATCAGATGGAGGCTGCAGGGCGCTGGGTAGAGAGGGATTAGCAGCTTTGCACCATGTGATGAAAGCTTTACAGTAAGGCCAATTAATCAATCAAAGCAGGTCACCAAACTGATCAGACTGTTTCATTTAAAGATGACTGGGGTCACAATGCCTGATGGCTGAAGGTGGGCACTATGGAGGGACATTTGGTCCATTATTGTTGCAAGCAAAGAACGTTTTGTAAGAGATTTGAAAAAAAAAAAAAAGAAGAAAATGCACTCAAGGTACGGAAGAGGTGTGAAAATATTTCAAAGTGGTGAAAATAGCAGAAGCATTAAACACGTTTATGTGCTGCTACTGTTTTCTGTTCAGATGCTTTTAAAATGTCTGGTGTTTTTCTCCGACATTTGACTTTGTGGAAATTCTTTGGAGGAAGTGATTAGCAGAGCTTCTCCCTGTCATTTTGGTTTGGTGCTTCCTTAAATATGCAAAGATTCTCTGTTCTGCACGCATCTCCTGCAGGGGCCCTCTCATGATAAAGAGGACATAATGTAAGCATGAGCCAACCTGCTTTAAATTCCTCCAGGAAAAAAAACATTTACATCAGCTCAAAACTTTCTATAAACCATATATATATATAAAACTATCCACTGGACTTTGTTTCCAAGTTTGAAGATGTTTCTCTTCCATCCAGGAAGCTTTTTCAATTCAAAATGTCAGAAATAGCCCTGAGTTCAAATGTTTATAGAGTAGCCCAAAAGCTTGTTTTTGCTTAGAAAAACACGCAACCAGAGGAACGGGTCCGCCCCTTTGGAAAGGTGAGTCGCTTGGGTTTGTTAACCTCCAATCCTCGATACTGGTCTATGCCTCTGAAATTGAAGTCAATAGGCTTGATTGTTGGTGTGGCTCAATAGGCGAGATGTTTTTGTTCCCTGCATGGGGGTGGGGGTTCACATGATAGTGGGAAGGAATCAACTCAATCGCTGCATTTTAGGTTTTTGAAAGATATAACCTGAGTCCACCCCCTCTGGTTAAGGTTAGTTTTTCTTTCTTAAAGGAATAGTACACCCAAAACATGATTAGCCTTCATTTTCTACTCACCCCCATGCTGAACAACACTCTGGAGTACTTTTTTGATATCTCAAA